TTTTTTTTTTTTTTTTTTTTTAATTGAATCCTAAAATTAAATTGTATTATTTTAGAACTCAAGAGATAAAATATATATATATATATATATTTAAAAAGGGAGTATACTTACCTTAAGTAAGAAGATTTTAACGTTTGATTTTTTATTATTTATCTAGGCTTACTTCGATATTCAAATATTTAGCTTCAAAAAAAATTATAATAATACTCAATAATTGTTTTAGATTTTAGATAGATAACCAACCGTATATTTTTTAAAATTTAAATACTTTTAAAAGTTCATTAATTAAATGGAAAAAAGAAAAAAATATATCTTTACATGTCTTAACTAATTTTATATAAAAAAAATTACAAGTCATATTGATAGAGATAAAGTTTACAAATTATTAATAAAATACCCCAATAAGGTTTCGTTTATTTAATTAAAGAAATATAGTAGTATTGAAATGCCAAGTGAATCAGAAAAATAAATAATAAAAAAATAATTATAAAAGTAAATTAAGTTCCGTGGTCGATTAGAGTATCAAATTTCGAAAAGGAAAATGATTCAGGAATCTCCAACACCCTTTTTAAAATTTTCTATTTTTAAAACATTTTCTGGTTCTTTTTGTCTGATTGCGCCACTCAAAGCCCACTCTTATCGGAAGAACTGTATGGTAACAATAATCATATGGCACAGGAAAGTGGTCGCAGTTCCTCCAGTTTTTAGCCACCAGATTTCTCTCGATCCAAAATACCAGAGCCTTTTCAGCCCCAGCGATGATACCCAGAAAGCAATTTTAGCGTCTACTGTTGAATTTCTACTTTTCCGGGAGTCTTTCACCGATTCGTCAACAGGGCCCCCCCTATATCTGTGTGTATATATATATATATATATATATATCTTTCGCCATTCTGTTTCCTGTTCAACCAATTTAGATTTGTGGCTTGCCCTCGTCGATTTATTGTTTCATGATCGTTTCGGATCGCGATGGCGACAACTGCTAATAACATTAACAGTAGCAAGGCGAAGATTGTCCATGGAGATTCTGGTTATGTTCTTGAAGATGTTCCTCACTTGTCCGACTATATTTTTGATCTCCCTGTATGTTCTTTTTCCAACCCCATCTGGTTTTTTTTTCTGATTTCTTGTTTCCTTGATGTTGCGATGTTGATCTTAACCAGATTTAGTAATCTGGGTTTGTTTGATTTAGTCATTTTGTTGATGAATCTTGTTTAAAATTGGCGGGCGTAAATGATGTTCGTATTATTAGTTCGGTGGTGCCGCTGTTTGTTGGCTTCTGATGATCTGATGGTTTGTTTTGCTTGCAGACGTATTCCAATCCATTGCAAGACAATCCTGCGTACTCTGCAGTCAGGTTGGTGCTTCTTCTTTTGTGTTTTTCTAATCTCTTACGTGTTTTGTGTTTTTTTTTTAATGGTTTCTTGGGAGATTGATGTTAGGAATCACAATTCTCCACGATAATATTGTCCACTTCGTTACTTATAAATCCATGATTATTCCATAAATTAATGTGGACTCCCTCCTAACAATCTTCCCCTTGAACAAAGTACACCATAAAGTCTCCCCTGAGGTCTATGTAGCCATCAAACAACCTTCCCTTAATCGAGCTTCGACTCCTTTCTTTGGAGCCTTCGAACAAAGTATACCCTTTGTTCGACACATGAGTCACTTTTGACTATACTTTCGAAGCTAACAATGTCTTTGTTTGACACTTAGGATTCTATTGACATAGTTAAATTAAGGGTATGACTCTTGATATCATGTTAGGAATCGATCTCTACAATGGTATGACATTTATCCATTTTGAGCATAAGCTCTCGTGACTTTGCTTTTGGGCTTCTCCCAAAAGGCCTCATATCAATGAACATGAATTCTTTACTTATAAACTCGTGATCATTCTCTAAATTAACGTGGAACTCCCTCCCAACAATCCTCAACAATTCGCTGATTTCCTTTGTGATTGATTAAAGTTAATCTATGTTTTGCAGGCAGTATTTTGTGCATGTTGATGATTCCGTTCCTCAGAGGGTTAGCTTTTTTCTTGGACCTTACCTTTAGTTTCTAGGGAGTTTGCATATTATTGTAAATTTAAATGAATCTTAAACTATGGGATTTCGTTACAAAATGTGAGGTTGTGCATAAAGATGTCCTGATAGATGCTATGGCATTTCCTGGTTTCATGAGGAAATAGCTCTAAATGGCAAGATTTATGAAGCATTAACATATGAAAATGATCATATTCTCATTTAGCAAGATGCATCACTGTTTGCATTGCTTTTACAGATTGTTGTTCACAAGAGTGGCCCAAGAGGAGTACATTTTAGGCGTGCTGGCCCGCGCCAACGAGTTAGCTCTCTCTTGATTCCTCTCTCAATGTATGTTTTTTAGTTTCATCCTTCAGTTATTGAATTGCCATGGCTTGTTGTTTCAGGTATACTTCCAGTCAGATGAGGTTCATGCTTGTATCGTGACATGTGGCGGTCTTTGCCCCGGTCTCAACACCGTGATCAGAGAACTAGTTTGTGGCTTATACAATATGTATGGTGTCAAGAAGGTTCTAGGAATTGAAGTAAGTCATTGCCTTAATCCCTGCACTTACCTACACAAAGGATGCTTTACTAAGCGAAAAGGGACTTGCAGGGTGGATACAGAGGGTTCTATTCTAAGAATACCATTCCTTTGACTCCAAAGTTCGTGAATGATATCCATAAACGTGGTGGAACTGTCATTGGATCATCACGAGGTGGTCATGATACTTCAAAGATAGTCGACAGCATTCAAGATCGTGGCATCAATCAGGTGTGAATATGATACTATTTTTGTGCAATTTCAATGGGAAACTAGATCCTTGGATCGTTGTTCATTGGTTTCCTTTTCTCAGGTTTACATAATTGGTGGAGATGGAACTCAGAAGGGAGCAGCTGCTATATATGAGGTAACATAGTTAAGTACTGAAACTTGGCGTCTTGATGTCATGGATTCTTGTTTTTTTTAATTGAGGTTTGATATAACGTGAGATCCCATATCTGTTGGAGAGGGGAACGAAGCATTCCTTTTAAGAGTGCATTTTAAAACGTCGGACAATATCTGCTGTTAATGTTAATCTCTCGTGGCTTATCCACTTTCTGTTTTGTGGTTTGTATGGGAAAAAATGATTATTTGTTCCTCAGGAAGTCAGAAGGAGAGGGCTCAAAGTTGCTGTTGTTGGGATCCCGAAAACCATCGATAACGACATCCCGGTACATTATTCATGTTCCAACGTTGACTGTCGTACTAAATCGAACAGTTACTGGTTCTAAGTGGATTCTGTCTGGTTCTGATGCAGATCATTGACAAAACCTTTGGCTTTGACACTGCTGTTGAGGAGGCTCAGCGTGCTATAAACGCCGCCCATGTTGAATCTGAAAGTATGGAGAATGGTATAGGACTTGTGAAGTTGATGGGTCGCTATTGTGGTAAGTTTGCAGCTTTGGCTAATAATTAGCTACATCATATGAACTTGTCAAAGCTCGTACTAAGTCCTGATGTTGGTTTCCTGGTGATAAGTGCAGGGTTCATAGCAATGTATGCAACTCTTGCGAGCAGGGACGTCGACTGTTGCTTAATTCCCGAGTCGCCTTTCTATCTTGAAGGACCTGGTGGACTCTATGAATACATAGCAAGATGTCTCAAAGACAACGGTCACATGGTCATTGTCATTGCAGAAGGAGCTGGGCAGGAGCTGCTATCTGGAAGCCTCGATTCTAATAAGCAGGATGCTTCTGGGAACAAGCTTCTTCAAGATGTTGGGCTATGGATATCACAGAAAATCAAGGTTTAGTGCCTACCCTCTTTTCTACAAACATTTGTTCGTTTCAGTTGGATCGTATAGTACATAGAACACTTGAATCAAATCATTGTTCGCTGAGAATTTCATGTCTGTTTCTGCAGGATCATTTTTCAAAAGAACATAAGATGACCATAAACCTCAAATATATTGGTAGGTTCCAAGTGATTTATTTTCTTACCATTAGATATTTTATATCAGACGTATAATACTGTTGTTGTGACAGATCCGACGTACATGATCCGAGCTATTCCAAGTAATGCCTCTGACAATGTTTACTGCACTCTGCTTGCTCAAAGTGCTGTGCATGGAGCAATGGCTGGCTATACTGGCTACACTAGTGGGCTTGTTAACGGAAGACAGACATACATTCCCTTCTACGTAAGACCTCGACCTTGAGTTTGACCCCGACTCCCCCATATATTGTCATAGAATATACCCAAGAATCATGCATGGATGTATGTGAGGTCCTACTTTGGTTGGAGAGGGGAAGAAAGCATTCCTTATAAGGGTGTGGAAACCTCTTCCTAGTAGACATGTTTTAAAATTGTGAGGTTGATGGCGATATGTAACGGGCTAAAGTGGACAATATCTACTAGTGGTGAGCTTGGACTATTACAAATGGTATTAGAGCCAGGCACAGAATGGTGTGCTAGCGAGTACGCTGGACCCCCAAGGGGCGGTGGGTTGTGAGATCCCACATTAGTTGGAGAGGGGAACAATGCACATTCCTTATAAGGGTGTGGAAACCTCTCCCTAACAGACACGTTTTAGAACCGTGAGGCTGACGATGATACGTAACGGGCCAAAGTGGATAATATCTACTAGCGTTAGGCTTGGGCTGTTAGTGTTTCGGTCAGTCTTGCATTCCTTGTGCACATAAAACAAGCTCAATCTGACCACAGTTGGAAACGAAACGACGAGTAGAGACATTCATTCATCAAGCTTTACGACGAATGTGACTAACACTGATTTGGTCAATCTGCAGCGAATTACTGAGAAACAGAACAAGGTTGGGATAGCTGACAGAATGTGGGCGAGGCTTCTATCGTCGACGAACCAGCCGAGCTTTCTAACTGCAAAAGACGTAAACGAGGAAGAGATGACGAACCATACGAACGAGTTAAACAATAAGACGGAGGACGAAACGGTGAGCAAACTAGTGTAATGTAGTTCAAACTTAATTGTGTCAAGAATTTGAAAGATGAGTGTGTTGTAGTTAAGCTAAGCTAAGGCTGTTATTTTTGCTTGCTATACTCAGTTTGTTTGTTTGTTGTAGGCTAATTGTTTTAGACCAAATCTTTATCCAAAGGAGGATTCTCCCATTGTATTGGATCGTTTAGGATAGATCTTTCTCTTAGTCTTGATTATGTCACACAAGTTGTGCTCATCGGTTGCTCACTGGATGAGTTACTGCTGTATGCACTATCTTAATAAATAATATTTCTTTTTTTATTACTACTAATTCTTTTTCCAAAATCACCAAATATTTTGCCAACTCCTATTCCAGCTGGCAGCGTCCGAAGGTTTGAAGGTCGAGAAGCAGGCCCTACCTTAAGGAAAGGTAGTTTGAAAGGCGGAATAAGACAAGGCAGCTAGGCTAAAGGCGAGGAAGTGACAACTGCCAGTTGGTTATTGATGAGGAGGAGTCAACTTAGTTGAATAAGACAAGGCGGCTAGGCGGAAGACAAGGAAGTCCCATCTGGCAACTACTGGTTGGTTGGCAACGAAGAGGAGTCAATTATCGAGGTCAGCTTTTGGAAGATTATGTGATTTGAATAAAAATTTTCTTCTAAGGACAGTTCTTCAGCTCATTGAGTTCCATTACATTAATGAATCCGACTTAAAAGATATGGTTACGCATATTCTCTGATTTTATTTTTTATAAAGTTTCAAAAGTTATTTCTAAATAAACTTATTATCCAATCACAACTGAGTTAAATTAGGTTGTTTTAAAATGGGGATAAAGATTCATTCTCACGGTAAACAGGCCAACATTGAATTATCAACTATTTATCGGAGTTTCATAAGCCAATGATTAACCGATAGTTTAACGTCTTATCTTCCATTTCTTGCCCTCCAATGAAGTGTGGAGTTACTTTGACAACTAAACGTAGTAGGATTAAAGGTTTTTATATGATCATAGTTGAGTCGTGCATAAGTTGACTAGAACATCGAAGGAACATACATATCTTTCCGTGCTTTGGTTTGAAAGATTATTGATTGTATTTACCATATATCTTCACTTATCATATTTTACTTGTGAACGGTGTTCGTTTGTAAATTTAAGTCTCCATGTCCATTAGAAATTTTAAAAGTCGACTGACCGAGAGTTAATTTAATCTAAATTAATACTTATATGTAATATTTAAAACAAACTAAATTGAAATACAATTATTGGTTGCAATTTTTTGGGTAGATAAAATTGTTTGTTATGCTTAAAAAAAGGAAACAAAAGGACTATTTTATTGTAGCCCTAACCTGACGGCAACAATGGCCCATTACCATTTATTGGGCCCAACTGGAAGGCCCAAAGTTTAGAGAGTATTGGTCTCTCAGCTAGCCCGTATTCATAATCGTCTATATATTCTCCATCGAAACCCTAATTGGTCTTTCGAGCACTTCACACCGCCTTCTCATTCGGACTTCAAGCACCAGGACGCTACCGAAGAAAACAATCAGCCATGGGTGAGCGAAACCCTAACTCTTCAGTTCTCGACCTTCGATCTATTGTAGTGCATTTAGTTTTTTCCGATGCGTCTCGATTCTTTCATCTGTCTGAATCTGTTTGCATATCGTGTTTCTCTGTGGCTTTATTGACTTCCAGGTAAGGTTCACGGATCTTTAGCTCGTGCTGGGAAGGTGAGAGGTCAAACTCCGAAAGTTGCGAAGCAGGACAAGAAGAAAAAGCCCCGGGGACGCGCACACAAGCGTATGCAATACAACCGCAGATTCGTCACTGCCGGTAAATCATCTTCGTTAACTTAATTGATCTTTCAGATATATTGGCGCTTTAGTTTAGGATTGTTGATTTAGGTTTCGTGGAATAAGCATTGCAATTGGTTTATTTGTTAGAAATTAGAATATATGCAGTTCTGTCTAATCGATATCTTTATTACGAAATTAAGATCCTCGTATGAGGATTTGACAGCCTCATTCTAACGTGTGGTTTATATCTATTTGTATTTGTAGTTGTTGGCTTTGGAAAGAAGAGAGGACCCAACTCCTCCGAGAAGTAAACAAACAGCGATTTCATTGGGTGCTTTGCCGCTGGAGATGCATGGTTTTATGCGTTATTAAGCATTTTCTTTCTTTTTCTAATAGATGTTTTAGTTGTTGAAGCTTTTTTGACCATGTAAAAGATATCTATTTTGGCAATATATTAGAAGCAATGCGATTTGAATCTGAATTTTAGTTGGTTTCGTATTTTCTCTTGCTGATTTTATGATATTTATCTGGATACCTAGAGTTCTCTTAATGCCGCGCTGTTTCTTCATTTGAGTTGTATTTTATATGGCATCGAGAGTGGAGTTGAGTGGGGAGATCTCTCATTAGGATCTTATAAAATCTGCACTGATAGGCTTAATTTACAAAAGCAAGCGTTTCTACGTTGTCTTACATTTGCAACAGGTGGTTCTTAATGATTTGGGTGCTGTAACAAATTAGGTTTCTGGGTCAATTTACATGGGAGCTTTCCTGAATCTGGACGAGTTTTTCTCATTAGGTTACTTTTATCAATTACGTTTACTGGAAAAATCAAATTACATGACCCTTCCCAAAATATGATCCAAGTTCTAGGCATCGGAACAGTTCATGTCCATGAAAATGCTGAAAAGATATTTGTTGTTTGAAAGGCTTGCAGACTTTACTATTATATGCTCTGACGTTAATTAACACGGATCTTAAGCACAAGGATTCGTAGGATCAAATTTCTCTTGACTTTGCATGTAGAACATGAGTATTGTGCTTGATTCTTCTAAAGGGCTGAAGATGAAAAGCTGTATAATGAATTGAATGAAGTTCATGATTCCCTTGAAATTTCCGTATCTGTTATAGTTTCACTCATTGTTGGCAAGAGTAGGAGTTCAGTGAGCTTACTGCAGGTGGTTATCATATACCTCTCATGTTTCATGTAAACAAATATTTAATTTTGCTATTAAAGGGGAGATTTCTATAATATTTAATTTTGGATCGGGATCAGCATCTTCATGGGCACTCATTTCTTTCTCCAATCGATGTGGATCCCCCATTTCACGGGGCCCTCCAATGGAGCTCAATGTTCTTGCTGGCATACCACTTTGTGTCCACTACTGGGGTTTACCACTTTGTGTCCACTACTGGGGCTTAGCCTCTTCACTGACACATCGCCTATTGTCTGACTCTGATGCCATTTGTAACGGCCAAACCCTACCGCTAATAGATATTGTCTCTTTGGGTTTTTCGGCTTTCCCTTCGGATTTTTATAAAACGTTTGTTTAGAGAGAAGTTTTCGTACTCGTGGATCTCACAAATATGATATTATACGAGGATTCTGTTTATAGAAAATAGTTCTCCTTCCCAATTAACGTGGATCTCACAAATATGATGTTATTCTGTTTATAAAAAATAGTTGTTGCAACACGAAAAGGGGGCGGAAAACTTGAGATGAGTTCTTTTAGAAGCATTACTTCTCAAGGAATTCTTTTAGAGGGAGGTGGAGGTGGTTTAAATGGTTATATATAGAATCCCAAATAAGCAAAATGATCATGGCTCACTCTGGCCAAACTTTAAACAATTAAGCATTGCAAATGGGTTTTTCTAAAATTACATCTGGGAACCCTAAACACATTCTCAGACGACAAGTGACTGGTACTTGATCCAGAACAGAAACAGAGCCATTACTTGGATGACACTACACAGCTAAAGATATTTAAAGCTCATCACGAGAGTATCCTTTAGTTGAAGTAGACTTGGGTGAGTACTCTAGAAGGTACCTTGTGGCGATTGAGGCCTGCAATGCTGCACCATAAGGAATAACATCTTCATTCACTATGTAATAAGGCGAATGTCCCGGTTCGAACTTTCCTACAGTCTCGTTCTTCATCCCAACGAAGTAGAAGAATCCTGGGAATGCTTCACAATAGAATGCAAAGTCTTCTGCTCCCATTAAAGGTTGCATATCAAGAACGTTCTTCGAACCCAACATGTCCCCAGCGACTGCACGAAAATGCTCGTAAAGATCTTGGTCATTCAGTGTAACTGGAAAAGAAGGCTTTTGATCTTCATTGAACTCCACAGTGGCATTGCACCTCTGAACGTTGGCTTGTTTTGTGATAACCTGCCATTGTTTTCCAAGAACAAAATATCATGGACTAATATTTGGAATGGATCTTGACTTGGGTAGCATGAATGTAACGACCTAAGTCCACCGCCAGCAGATATTGTCCTATTTGGGCTTTCCCTTTCAGGCTTCCCCTCAAAGCTTTAAAATGTGTCTGCTAGGAGAAGGTTTCCACACCCAAGGGTGTTTCGTTCTCCTCCCCAACCAATGTAGGATATCACAATAAAAATCTACCTCTACAATTCTGTGTTTAAGTTGGATGAAGCTTTCCCTTGAAAACGCCCTGAAAGTGCCGCCAATTGTTACAGAATCTGGAATGACATTGAATGCATCACCGCCCTGAAACTTAGCTACTGTAACGACCTGAAAGATTCAAACATGTTTGTGAATTGGCAGAGTATAAAGGAATAAGGCTGAGAAATGTTTAGAAAGAAACAGAACCTGTGAATCTAATGGATCAGTTTCGCGGGAGATTAGTTGTTGCAAACTGATAATTATGTTGGAAGCTGCTAAAATTGGGTCAAAGGTGTGGTGGGGTAGAGCAGCATGGCCTCCTTTACCACTAATAACTGCCTCAAAGAAACCACTTGCAGCCAGAATAGGACCAGGCCTGGAGATCACCATGCCAAAAGGATACTTTGGACTTACATGTGCTCCAAAGATGGCATCAACATTGTTCAATACTCCAGTCTCTAACATTTTCTTCGCTCCCCCACCTCCTTCCTCGGCTGGTTGAAACACAAGAACTACTGTTCCCTGTTAAAATCATGACCCTCGACACCATAAATGTAAGATCCCACCTCGATTGGGGAGGAGAATGAAACACCCTTTATAAGGATGTGGAAACCTTTCCCTAACAAATGCGTTTTAAAGCCTTGAAGGGAAGCCCGTAAGGGAAAGCCTAAAGAGGACAATATCCGCTAACAATGGGCACAATAAACTAGCGCAGCAGTATGAAAACCGTAGCAAAGAGATTGTAAAGAAAACAAGCATGGTTTTCAAAAACCGAAAACGAAACCATTATCAAACGGAACCTTGGTATCTAAAGCCCCTGCTCATTTCTTATAGGTTAACAAATAATAGGTAGAAATATGCTTCCAAAACGACACGAATCAACAAAAATAATATGTAGAACGTATCTAAAAGCTCTATAATGATGTAATCTCCACAGCAACAAGCAACCCTTTTAACTTAGAAGATGATAGAGTATGTAAAGCTTCCATCAATAGCAAAATCACAGCTTAAGAACCTGTATTAGATGGCGATGCTCTACAAGAATCTTTGCAGCTCCTAAAAGCATGGCAACATGAGCATCGTGGCCGCATGCGTGCATCTTTCCAGGAACTTTGCTTTGATGCTCCCATACTACGCCCTCCTACAATACAACCACCAAAACTCCATTATCTTAAGTTTCAATACATAGCATTTAGAAGCACCAATGGGTGAAAACCATTGCAAGTAGACCGGTTGAAGTGGTACTTACTTTCAAAATCATCCATATAATCCTAAAAATGCACAATCACATGCAACCAAAACAAGCAGAACGAAAAAGGGGATCACAAAAATTGGCTATAAAGTGTACCTGCAGGGCTAGAGCATCCATGTCTGCTCGAATAGCAACGAAAGGAGGGTTTCCAGTCCCTATGAAACCAACCACGCCAGTTATGGCCACTGGATACTCATAAGAAATGCCTAAACGGTCAAGCTCCGCTCTGATAAGCTTGCTAGTCTGAAATTCCTCGAAACCCAGTTCAGGGTTCTCGTGTATTTTCCTTCTGATATCAACCATCCAATCAAAAACCTCTGGACTCTTAGCATATTGAAGGAAATTCAAAGGGATTTGCGACAATTCTTCTGGGATCGGAGAAGAACACAAAGGAATTGGGCATAGCATAAGCACATGGAAAACAAAAATCAAATTCAGGCAACAACGTAGAGCCATTGGTTTCTCTGTAATTTTCTATGTGCAACGATTCAAACTATGGAAATGAAGATTTAGTAATGGAGTTGAGTAGAAATAGAACTGAAGATTGAAGTCTGATCGGCAGTTGTTGGAGCGGAAAACATACCAAATGGAATGCGGAATGGATGGCCTCTCGCCTCTCAACACGACGAGCAAAATTCATAAATTTCTGGAAAAGAAATCTTGATATCTTAGCCCAGTGTTCGGGGTGGAAGGCCTTACGGAATTAGAAGGAAAAATTGTTTAGGTTTTAGGTTTAGTAAGTCAGCTTAACCTTTTCTTTTGTGGGCCGCAACACTGTCAACGCCGTGAAGAAAAAGGCATCTCCCACCCAACAACAACGCGCCTAAGTAAACCGAACCAAAGTCGCCTCTCAACCAGATCTGCTCTTCTTCTTTAATTTTATTTCTCCACACCGATCGCTCTTCGATTTCCTATCATCACCTCTCAGGTACACACCTTTTCATCAATTTTTTCTTCTTTTTTTTTCGGGATCGAATTGACCTTGTGTTTCAATCTCGATTTTGGTCGAGTTTCGAGATTTGATTTCTGGTCAGACGAGGTATGAGTGATGATTTTGTTTCTGTTGATGCAGAAGTCCGGAGGTCGGTTCGATTCGCAGATAATCCACCATGTCTATGTTCAATAAGCTTTTTGGTAAACCTAAGCAGGAGTCTAGTGCCCTGGCGACGCTTGATAAATTAAACGAGGTATCATGGCGGACTCGGTATCTTTCAATTGAATTCCCTCTCCCCACTTCTGTTTATTAGGGTTCTTGAGAGTTCTTGAAAATTGAAACCACTAATATGGCTAAGTCGAACTACAAGATTTTCCCAACATCACTAATTGCTGTTCTTTGTTATAGCGACGACTCTTTTAGGCCGAAATGAATTGTTTTATGCGTAAATTTTCAGACACTGGAAATGCTGGAGAAGAAGGAGAAGGTACTTTTGAAAAAGGCTTCCACAGAGGTTGAGAAGGCCAAAGATTATACCAGAGCAAAGAACAAGCGAGGTATGGCAGTTTGTTATTGAACGAAACATTTTGGCGTTAAGTACTTGCAAACTATTATGATATTATGATGAACTTGTTGATGATTAACGTCGAGGGTGGCATAGTGTAATGAAACAACCAATGATTTTTGTTATCTTTTCTTCTTCTACTTTGTTCGGGGGATGGAGGGGAGGGGCCTCGGATGTTGATATCCAAATTCGTTTTCGATTCATTCTTGGAGTTGAATACCTCATTCAAAAATTGTTTTTGATCCAATCCGTAGGAATCGGTAGAAAAGACAAATCCCCTATAGAAAAGACAAATCCCCTATGATACACTAAATCCGACTCGATTATTGATAGAGTGAATAGATTGTTTGACTTTTTCCCATTTGAAATGTTTGTAGTCTTTGGACGTCCCTATATGTAAAGGGTACTTCAATACTTATTAGTTTTGCAATTTCTGAACGTGTTCCTATCAAGTTGGGTGTTCTTTAGTCAAGGAAATAACTTATTGATGTGTGGTTACTGCGAGATCACATGGGGAACGAAGCATTTCTTACAAGAGTGTGGAAACCTCTCCCTAGTAGATGCGTTTTAAAATTGTGAGGCTGACAGTAATACGTAACGGGTAAAAGCAGACAATATCTACTAGAGGTGGGTTTGAGTTGTTTACAAATGGTATCAGAGCCAAACACCGGGCGGTGTGCCAGCGAGGACGCTGGGCTCGAGGGGGGTGTATTGTGAGATCCCACATTGGTTGGAGAGGAGAACAAAGTATTTCCTATAAAGGTGTAGAAACCTCTCCCTAGCAGACACGTTTCCATGAGGCTGACGGCGGTATGTAACAAGCCAAAGCGGACAATATCTGCTGTTACAGTTATAGTCAAGTTTTAACGAGTCATGCCGTTATTAATGGTAAATGGCTTGTTTTGGCCTTCTTTCATTCAGTGATTTATGCTCTTCTATTTCTTAATTTCAGCTCTGCTAGTTATGTTTGTTTCTTATCCAAGTTGGGGATGTGTTTAATTTTCAGCGTGGGTGCAAGATAATTAGTTGGTTATACCTCTTGATCTTGGGGTGTTTGCATTTCCATTTTTCGTATGCCCCAGCTTCCATCACAAATTTCTGGCATCCTGTTGCCTTCTTTAGTTCCAAGTATTCATGTGTCTTGGAGACGTTTATGATTGGAGCCGTTTGTTTCCTCCTTTGATGTTGGATCTTTCCCGCGTTCAGTTTGCAATTCGAACTGTTGTTGGTGGTAATGTCGCTTCAATATTAACTTCTTTTTTTATTTATTTTATAGCTGCTATACAATGTTTGAAGAGGAAGAGGCTATATGAGCAACAGATAGAGCAGCTTGGCAACTTCCAATTGCGGATCCACGATCAGGTGATTTTTTTATGTTATATTGTTACTGTGAGTTCCCACATTGGCTGGAGAGAGGAACAAAGCATGTCTTTTGAGGGGAAGGTCTAAAGGGAAAGCCCAAAGAGGATAATATGTGCTGATGGTGGACTTGGGCTGTTACAACTGGTATTAGAGCTAGACTCCGGGCGGTGTGCCAGCGAGGACACTGGCCCCCAAGGGGGTGGATTGTGAGATCCAACATTGGCTGGAGAGGGGATGAGACATGACTTTTAAGAGTGTGGAAACCTCTCCCTAGCAGACGCGCTTTAAAATCTTTGAGGGGAAGTCCGAAAGGGAAAAGCCCAAAGAGGACACGGTGGACTTGAACGGTTACCGATACAAGACTAGACTAGTTTGATGTATTTATGTTTGCTTTTGGTTGGTGCTTGTGTATCTAACGTTGTGAGTTATAAATATTTGGGGTGCAGATGATATTATTAGAAGGTGCAAAAGCCACAACTGAGACTGTAGATGCATTGAGGACAGGGGCAGCTGCAATGAAAGCAATGCAGAAAGCAACGTAACTACCACATTCTTTCAATGTAGTTTCATTATTTGTATTTTGGTTTTCTTTACCCATCCAAAGGTTGTGAAAATCTTCGGAATGATGTGCTGGCGGAGCATAACGACGCATGATGCCCGAGGGCCGAATGTTTCCATTACAATTTATGAAATTGGATGTTTAATAGTCTCCTTTTGCAGGAATATCGATGATGTCGATAAAACAATGGACGAGATCAATGAACAAACTGAGAACATGAAACAGATCCAAGAAGCATTATCAAATCCAATTGGTGCTTCAGCTGATTTTGATGAGGTTTTTACTCACTTTCCGTGTGTTCTACCATTTGTCCCTGCAATTTTGTGAAGTTTTTCTTCCACTAAACACTTGTTTGTACGCACAGGATGAACTGGAAGCAGAACTTGAAGAGCTAGAAGGTGCAGAGTTGGAAGAACAACTTCTTCAACCTGCAACAACTGCTCCTGCTGCACCAATTCCTGTCCCGGCAGGCAGACAAACTGCTCGACCTGCTCCAAAACGAACTGCTGAAGAAGATGAACTGGCAGCTCTGCAGGCTGAGATGGCTCTTTGATTTGGTATCCATTATGGTCTTGAAGCAAGGCCTTGGGCTAATCTTATGATGAATTACTTCCCCCTTTGATACCGTTCTAAGCCTATGAAATGAATATCCTGCATACTTGTCCCAACAAAACTTGTGCATTGTACCCAACTTTGCATCTAGAGCAGCTACAAGGCTGTCAAGGCTAAAATGTTTTTATGGAATTATGCAGGTGGCTTAAGCATGGTTAACATTCGAAGAGAGACGCTATAACGAAGAATTGGCCCGAGGATGTACCAAAGATTTGAACATTTTTTGCCAAGTTCAGCAGAGCCTGATCAACAGGTTTCTTTGTGACATTACCAGATAATAATGCAATTTTAATTTTGGTCCTGTATATTCTGTAAATGAATATATACCATTCCTGTGGTTAGTATTGACCTAATATGGAGCTGATGTGCAAGTGTCTCAGTTACACAAAGACCATGTGTTAAGTTTAAGTTTGAGTTGGTTTTTTGAAAATCCATGCTTGAGTTTGTGTTGGTTATTTACTATGGATTACACAAGAATTCCATAAACTCTGCCGGATAGCTCGAAAGACAGGAATTCATTCCAATACATACAACAAATTCACTTGTCCCATGCTTATATACAAATTACAGATTCATGAGAGCCATGAATCCAACACGAAACATTCGAGTGATTGGGGAACGGAACTAAATTGATTTAAGGTTTCTTATTTACCACATATAACGAATGAACAAGGAAGCTCTATATATGATGGGTGAATTTCAGGTGCCACAAACTCTTACCCATGATCTATGACGGTTGCCGCAGAACCATTGAGACGTATAAAAAAAGCATATGGTTGGATCAGCTTGGAGCTTCTAGCCTCTTAATTCACGACTGAACTCAGAGGGGCTGGTGACAACTCCAAATAATCAAAATCGTCCGTCATACCAACCTGCATTTACACAACCGATAACTCGGAGAGTTCTTAACAAGAGACATGCAAACGTCCTTTGGAGGTGATAAATGTTTGAAGGTTGAAAGTGGGAAGTAATAAGTTACTTTCTTGTCCTTTCAAAACTGTGGAAAGTAATGTTTTATAAAAGGTTGAAGATAAGAAACTTTACGTGCGTCCTATTCTAGCATATCGCTAATTCTTGCAGAGGGCATTTTTTTTTGTGCTTTACCTCTTTGTACAGGTTCTCTAGTTCTTTGGCTTGTGGAAAGTTGTTTGAACACCATTGTCGCAAAGTGAAAATGTTGTCTGCATGTAATTAACAGAGCTTCGAAGGAAATTACTAGTGGGCACGCGAGAAACAAGGGAAACATTGGAAACTTGTTGGTAGCTTATGTGCAGAATGCATACGTGTCCATCGGTTGGCTGCAGCATGCGCATCTTCAATTGCATTTTCTGTCAAATTCACACAACCATTAACTCCAAGTTTAGCACAGCGATATCAAGAGTTAAGCAGCTGATACCCATTTTCTATCGTATAATTCGAAAACATGCAAAAGAAACTCAACTCGTTGCCTCAAAGGCAGCTGGATCATTATCTGCATACTGTATCATTTTATCCTGAGAGTAACTAGATTGTTAAAGTCATGCGAAAACGAAAAAGATAATCGGAATCGATTTTTTTTTTACAAACAAATAAATAAAATTCAGAATACAAGCAAAACCTTTAGCTCTTTGTGCTTCAGTTCAATGGCTTTCAATTCAGCTAGGGCTTCCTCACGTTCATCCTGACATAAAGAAATCATTCATGACCTAGAGGGAACTAATTTTCATAAATTACCTTTCGCTTAAAGTATAATCACTCATAGATTCCTCTCTTCCCTTCTTCCCTTCTTTAATGCATTACTCCGCTGAGTAAG